TTTTCACTTGTCTCGCGTCTTGACCCTCGCCTCTGGCTCGGGCCAAGGAGCCTCGAGACTCGTGAATAATGACTAACTTTCCGCACTTATATAAAAAATAACTATTATAACATATTTGCTCGTAAAGTGGCTGAAATAACACCAATTTCAATATCGTAATGTATTTCATTACGCACTTGTGCGTTATTGTAATGTAAAACGCACGAGTTTTTTTTTTAATAAAGTAACATGCACGGTTTTTTGAGATGCTCTATTTAAAAATGAACGATACTTTTTTAAATCTTTGCAAAGAGTTTTTATGTTAGAAAAGTGGTCAATATTTTATGAATAAAATTAACTTTGGGAGATAAAATATAGTAAATAAACATTTAATTCTTTCATTGAATTAATTTTGACAATAAATTACAACCATTTATCTGTAACAAAAACACAAAAATATTAATTTACTTTATTAGTAATACTGGCTATTTTTATACCTTTGCCTAAAAAAAAACGTTGATGCGCGCGCATGGCTAATTTGTGGACAATTAAAAATTATTTCGCGCGCTCTTTCTTTTCGCTGTATTGTTTTTATTTGAAAATGTCGTCAAGTAGTGATGAATTTATCAATTTGACACCGCCACAAGTCTTAAACGCAACGAAAAAGGCTACTCTAAGCCTCTTACCTGAAAAATCGACCGATAGATACTTACAAGCTTAGAATAATAACGCATAGAAACCTAGCCCGCACACGTTAAGTGAGGCAAATTGTAGGACGCCCTATGGGCTTACACGAGCGAGCGGGCTGTCAGTGCTCAAGGTCAAGTTGCACCGCGAGGAGCTCAAAAATTTTTGCTAAAAATGACGAATTGTGCGGTAATTGGGTTTAAAAATAGATCAGACAAATATAAAATAGACACTAACATCACATTCAACAAGGAAATAACGCGTTTCAACTTGTATTTTTGTATAAATGTTCACTAAAACAGAAAATTAATTTCGTTGCAACAAGATACGAAAATGTTGCAAAGTAACGGCTTTTTTCTCCCCATTTTGCTATTCTGTTTCAAAATAATTATATTACGTAATTTTTTGAGAATAGGCAATATCGCAACGGTTGCAAAATTTCTACAAATGTACACCGCCGAAACAACATTGTAGGGAATTTATGTTAGCTATTTTTACGAAATATATTTAGCATTTGTCTTCATTAGTTTCATGTGAAAAATCATTATTCTTGTTCATCATACACTCATTTAAATCAATTGTCTTGCCCAGACTTAAAAGTTCTTAATTTAAATTATTTCAGGAAACTAGCTCTGACTAAAAAGTCATCGTCAGTTCTCCAAAATCGTGTATAAATAACTTTCAGGTTCAGGTTCTTAATTGTTATCGTGTACTTTTCATGTAAACATACCCACAGATAATATCAGGCTATTTATATATTCAAATTCGATAGTCGCACTTAAACTCGCTTGTAGGTTTTTGTTCATATATGAGTTAAATAAGAATTGGGTAGTATTTAATAAGGTGCCTACAGATTTGCTCGACATTGTCGATCGACAGTAACGATTGAGAATTATAGACGATTTCGAGGAGTTTTAGAGTGCTTATTACGAATGTAGCATTAATTTCTAAATCCAAGATGGTTGACAACAAATTTCAAAAATGTATTTTTGGTAAACCATAAGGAAAAAACATGTATATCTGAATACAAGATGGAGGACAAGACTTCTAATTCTTCTTCTTCTAATTCTTTGCCATCTTGGATTTAGAAATATGTGCTATATTCGGAATGAGCAGCCCCTAATACCTTGAAAACGACACCCAACTTGCCATTATTCGAAAAATCGTGCCCGCCATCTTGGATTTAGAAATTAGTGCCATGTTCTTAATGAGCACCCCCAAATACCTCGAAAACGACACCTAACTTGCTATTATTTGAAAAGTCATGTACGCCATCTTGGATTTAGAAATAAGTGTTATATTCCTAATGAGCACCCCCAAATACCTCGAAAACGATCCCCAACTTGCCATTATATGAAAATCGTGCCCGCCATCTTGGATTTAGAAATGAGTGCCATATTCGTAATGAGCACCCCCGAATACCTCGGAAATGATACCCATATGGCATTTATTTCAAAGTCGTGTCCGCCATCTTGGATTTAGAAATAAATGCCATATTCGTGATGAGCACCTCGAATACCTCAAAAACGATTCCCATATTGCATTTATTTGAAAAGACGTGTCCGCCATCTTGGATTTAGAAATGAGAAAAGTCGTGTCCGCCTTCGTGTATTCAGATATAAATGCCATTTCCATAAGGATTACCAAAAATAAATTTTCGAAAATTCCTGTCACTTGACGTTGTCGATCAACAGTAACGATCGACTAAATCGAGCATATCTGTAGGCACCTGATCGACAAAATCGAGCAAATCTGTAGGCACCTCTAACTTAACGATGAGTTAAGCAAGATACAATTTCCCCACTTTTGAGGGAAATGTTATTCCATGGCATCATTATTTGTATATTTGTGTGCGTGCCGACGAGCGTAAATACAAGTTGCTTACGCCTACATGAATTTGATTTTTGCCTCACTTGTGACAGTTCGTTTTTTATGAAACTATCATTCTATGCGTTATTATTCTAAGCTTACAAGCGTATCAAAAATTCATCATAATATGGAAAACAAGCAAAGATGCAAATTCATTTTCAGAAAATGTGTTTTTAGGCTATTTCATGGAACTTTCTTAAAAATATAAGTTAAGCTCATTGTGGTGCTACTATTCAATGCTAAAAAGCACTATGAAAACAAACCATGGTATTGATATCAAGTCATACTCCAACTTGATAGCATTTCTAAAAAGACGCTCAGATGGCCATGTAAGTAAAAAGTCGAAAGCATTTTCGGCTGACAATATCAAGAAGTTCCTAAAAGAAGCTCCGGATTGGCGATATTTGGCAACAAAGGTCAGTTGAAACTAAATTATTGTCATTAATTTCTTTCACTTTCGTATTTCTTTACAATATAGGTGTTTATATGTTCTTTTAATCTCTTTTCAGGTTGTATTAATATTCGGTATAAATGGTGCATGTAGACGTCAAGAGTTGGCAAACATAACAACTAATGATGTCGAGAACCATGGGCGGGTTCTTCTTGTCCAGGTCAAAAACACAAAAAATAAAATTCAAAGGTCGTTCACAATACAGGGGCCTTTTTACGACGTAGTGAAGAAATACGAAGCGCTTCGTTCAACAAAAGCTAATTCCAACAGATTTTTTTAAAATTACCAAAATGGAAAAGGGACTAACCAACCCATTGGCATCAATAAATTGGGAGCAATGCCGAAAGAAATTGCCACTTTCTTAAATTTGCCTCAAGCAAATGAATACACAGGGCACAGTTTCAGAAGGTCCTCGGCTACATTGCTCGCTATTCAGGTGCGGACTTATTGACACTAAAACGCCACGGAGGATGGCGGTCAAGCAATGTAGCCGAAGGATACATAGAAGAGTCGATAAGAAATAAAGAAGAAATTAGCTCTCGCATTACAAGGAACATAAATTTGTAGTCAAGTGTTGACTTTCAACCATCTACGAGCACACACGCGTACATTCCACCATCGTCGCCGCAGCCGCAACCGCCTCCGCCGCCACCACCGACTGCAGAACTCTGTGGTCTCGTTTCACTTTCACTCAAGAGAGTGAGAGAGAGACTGGGGAGATTGTAACTAATAATAATAACTTGACAACATTAAAAATGCCAACTGGCAACGTAACAATCACTTTTAAAAATTGTTCATATTTCTATAACTGCTTTAACAAGTAATTAAAGATTTATTCGTTTAACAAAGTCAGAGTCTTATTTATTTCCTCGCAAATATGTTATAAAACGTCGTGTGACATACGTGCGCTTTGAAAATTACAGCCTCTGCTTTCTTATAGCAATATCGCCTCGGCTGTCATTTTCAACTTACCGCACTTATATCATAATGTACCATTGCTGTATTCCGTGCCGAGTGTACACTATTACCGAGTCCAATGAAAATCACAATCTGGTAGCACTTTCAACGCGACGACAATGAGACAATTCCGCACTAACACATCACATCACACAACCACTCTATTGTGCTATTTTCGTCATATACAAATTTATTTTATTCGATTAGTCGACTTACTTTATTCATAAGTCTCGTGTCGTATTAAATCATAAAACGAGTAAACATTTTCTCTTCCTTCTTGTTCAGATTGGAGCCGGAGCTGACGCACTACACTATGCTCGAGCACGCGCCCGAGGCGCCGAACGCGGCGCGGTTCCGCGTACTGCGCGAGAACCGGCGCCGGGTGGGCCTCGGCGGTCTCGACGGCCTTGACGAGTTGCGGCAACGCGCGCGCCCGCGCCTGCGCACCTACCGCCTCTTCACGCTGGTGGGCGTTCGCTCGTAGGAGGGGAACGGCGTGGTGGGCGAAATAAAAGAATATTCTTTTTAATACACCTTCGTTATATTTTTTATAAGTAGAGTTTGCTGCTAAGGTTACATAAATCGCGAAACGTGCGCGGCGGCGGGTGCGAGTCACACTGTTATAGTCTTGATCGGAGCCGCAGACTGAAGTTCGACGTTTCCCTTGCCGAAGCTACACTGTTGCCGCTGGCGCCTGTTCTCGCGAGAAGCGTCCTGTGTCTCTCGTGTTGATCTTTCTAGACGTAACTACATTTTTAGGTATTTTAAATTTCATAACACCTCCCTTATTAGCCGGATGTGTCTGAATTACTTTCGCAGCGTTTTTGTTGTCGCCGAATGTCTCTGCGACTGCTTCCGAGGGCCGGGTCAAATCTATGTCGGCCAGCCAGTTTTTCACACTCGTAGTATATTTTTGCTTAAGCTGTAAGCGCCTATCTGATGACTCTGATTTAGCTATTTTTATCTTTTTAATAGGAACATCGATTTTCGGTGGAATCGACTTTCGTTTTGATGAATTGTTGGTAGCAGCGTTGGTGATTTCCGTGTTGCAGATAATTTCTGCAATTAATTTTTTTAGTTGTTCTAAGAATAAATTGAAACTAACAATTAAAACCGAAAGTACCGAATAAAAGTGTCATCACGAATATGGGTTAGGGGTGTGTTAGGGGGTCGGTTAGGGGTTCGGTTAGGGGTTCGGTTGGGGGATCGGTTGGGGATTGGTTGGGGGATCGGTTGGGGGGTCGGTTGGGGGGGCCGGTTGGGTGGCCGGTAGGGGGCTGGTTGGGGGGCCGGTAGGGGGGCCGGTTGGGGGCCTAATCCAGAGCCTAACTCACCCCTAACCCCCACAACCCAAACCTTAAACCACCCTCTAACTCACTCCTAACCCCCCCAAACCAAACCCTAACCCCCAACCCAAATCCTAACCCACCCCCAAACCCACGCTTCACGACGACGCCCAAAGTCTCAACTTCGGCGCATCTCACGAACGTTCCCGACTAGCGGCGGAAACCGCGTTATTAATCGTTCGCCCAAAACCAGTGCGATTTTCGTTCGCTCTAATAGTGTGCGAACTTTTAGTCGCCACATAGGTCCCCCACGGTCGATAGTAGTCTGGGAAATATACTCTTCTACCGCTCCTTGTACGCCTTTGAGTAACCTCGGGCGGAGGTACAGGTGAAATGTCAGGTGTGTCAAGTAATCCAGCATTATCATTGCTGGTGAAGGCAGGCTTTAATCGATCAACCGAAATGTTCATTGCTGTGTCTCGCACTAAAACCTTGAAGTACTTTTCTTTTCGTTCCAATACCTTATATGGACCTGCGTAAGGGGGCTCCAAAGATCTTCTAACTCTGTCCAGGCGCAGGAATAAGTGAGAGCAGTCTTTAAGACTTTTTGGTGAGTAAAATGGAGTATTGCTGTGCCACTTAGCTGGTTTTGCCATGAGCTTGGCCATGTGTGGCCTTAGACGGGACGCGAAGCAGGAAAGGTCCTCCACAGTGTAGCCATCAGACGGAGACAGGAACTGGCCGGGCAGACGGAGGAATTCGCCGTATACCAACTCGGCGGAAGACGATTGAATGTCTTCTTTCCAGGAGCTGCGGATACCTAATAAGACAAGAGGTAAGGCCTCGGTCCGTAGAGAGTTATCGTGGCACATGATGGCGCCCTTTAGTTGCCTGTGCAGGCGTTCAACCATACCGTTGGCGATAGGGTGATAGGCGGTAGTATGAAAGTGATGTGCTCCGAGCATGGTGGTGAGGGCTCGGAACAAGTGAGACTCGAACTGACGGCCACGGTCCGTTGTAATTCGCTGCGGGCAGCCAAACCGGGATATCCAGTCGGATACGAGGGCGGCCACGCATGTCTCGGCCGCAATGTCCCTGAGCGGTATTGCCTCCGGCCTCCGGGTGAAGCGGTCGATGACAGTAAGGCAATATCTGTAATCACAAGACAGAGTTAAAGGTCCTACGAGGTCGAGGTGGATATGGGTGCACCTCGAGGAAGTGACAGGAAATGAGGAGAGAGGAGCAGATGTGTGACTTTACAACACTGGCAGTTTTGGCACATTTTTGACCACTCTCTACAATCGTTGGGAATACCTGGCCAAACAAATCTTTGAGTGACCAGTCCCACTGTAGCTGAATTTCCTGGGTGACTCAGGTTATGTAGCGTGTCAAAGACTTGTTTTCTAAAGTTCGCAGTGACGAATGGTCGAGGCGGCTGAATAGACACGTCGCAATAGATTTTGTGGTCGGAACATGGTAACTTGAGCGAAGATCCGGTAAGAAGCAAGTTTTGCAGCTCAGAATCAGTCTCCTTAACAGTTCGCGATCGTAAGGACTGTATTTTTTTGCGATAACTTTAACTTTTTGGAAAAAGATCCTAGGGGTCTCCAATTAGAATTTTGCGCGTTGTTGAAGTACTGCGCCTATAGACACATCAGATGCGTCAGTAATTATCGATATCTCTGCAGTCGGGTCCGGATGCGTAAGACGAGTTGCATCAATGAGTGATTTCTTATATTAATAAATAAAAATAAAATAAAAAGACTTTATTCTTCAACAGAAAACACAACAATATTTAAGATAAAACAATGCTTAAATCTATGTCGAAGAAAAAGAAAAAGCCTCAGCAATTTGCTGGTTTTCAGGCTTCACCTGGCAAGTATTCGCCGCTGGAGACACCGTAGCATATAGAGACGGGTATCTTTTCGAATACATATATAAATAAATAAATAAATAGGAGGGTATCTCACTCACTATAAACGTTTACTACATAAATAACAAACCTTAAAACTTAAAATGACATACGTACCGACCACCGAACATACTGAACTTAGCAGCAAAGAGTATTTCACTGTGTACATAGAATACAATAAGCAGAGAATGGAATTTGGAAAAAATATAGAGTTAGTACATCTTTAATTCCAATTATAATCCTACTTTTATTATTTTCAATGACGTAACAGAGCCTACATCACCTTCGACCAACAGTATGATGTCTTCTGTAGATTAAGCAGCCATTCCCTGCACTTACACTTGAAAGTATATGACGATTTACATATTTTTACTTGCGGCGGAAGATCGTTCCAACACTTAGTTGCCGCAAAACGAAAGCTGCCTCTAAAAGAATGTAGTCGAGGAGAAGATGACAATTTCAAACTCGGATAGCGTATCGGACGGGTGCTGCCCTCCACTCTATCGTTCCAAATCAGCTTATCTGCCAAGTACGGCGGCCACAGTTTATTTCTCAAAGAAAATACAAGTGTACCAAGCTTTAACATTTGCCTGTTCGCCATGTTCAAAATATTGTAGGTATTAAGAAACGGGGTAACATGCGACCTCGGCGGAACGGAATAGCAAAACCTAATACATGCGTTTTGAACGCTTTGGATTTTTTTCACCGTCTTTTTGTGTAAACATGGTCCATACACAACGTCACAGTAATCGATAATAGATAAGACCAGGGCATCCGTTAATCTACGTCTTACAGCCGTACTCAAATGGGGTCTTATCTTGTATAACTGTTTAAGCGCAGCATAACATTTAGGTAATTTAGAAGCCACATGTTTATCAAAAATTAGAGAGCTATCGAATAAAAGACCAAGGTTTCTCGCTATAGTAGTTTCACACATTTGCTGTTTATTAACAATGATGGAAGGATTAGAATCTTGGACACATTTAATCTGATGTTTTGTTCCCAATATCAGATAGGAACATTTCTGCGCGTTTAATAAAAGTCTGTTATTATTAGACCAATCCAATACTAGGCTCAAGTCAATATTAAGCGCCCGGATAGCTGTAAGTATTTTATCTCTCTTTGACTCGGTATGTATTAAGATTTGTGTGTCATCCGCATACATATGTGCACTACTTGATTGTATACGATTAAGTAAATCACTAGTATAGATGGTGTAAAGAGTCGGTCCTAATATGGATCCTTGAACCACACCACGCTCTACAGAAAGAGTGGCTGATTTCACTGTAGTTCCACCACGATCAACACATTCAACGGCTTGAGTACTATAGAACCATGAACACACAAGATCATTACATCCATATTGTTTAAGTTTATAAAGAAGGTTACTCCTTACGAGACAATCAAAGGCGCGACTATAATCTAACAAAACTAGAATAGTAGCTAAACCATTGTTAGAGGCCATAAGTACTTCATCTACTACGTGCAATAAAGCAGTGGTGGTGCTGTGCTGCCTTCAAAAACCTGATTGATGTACAGGAATAATGTCGTTACTTTCAAAGTACTTTACAAGTCTAGAGTTAACGACTTTTTCCAACACCTTCGATAACACCGGTAGTAGCCCTATTGACCTCAAATCTTTGACGGACTCAACATTCGATTTTTTTGGTATCGGTCTAACAATAGCGGTTTTCCATTTCTTAGGGAACTGTCCTGATTTCATTGACGTGTTTATTATACTTGTTATCGCAACCAATGAGTATGGCAAAGTAAGGCGAATCATTTTCATCGATATTCCATCATTACCAGCGGCGTTAGAAGATATCGAGTTAACAATCCTTAAGACTTCATCAGGTGTGCATTCAGTAAAATTAAAACTGCATTCTGTTACGACTGGAATATCACCTTTAGGAAGAGAATGAATGTTTGGAACCGAATCTATAAAATATTTGTTTATTAAATGTGGATCACTTAGGTGTAACGGTAGTGCATTTCGTTTAGAACTTCCAAGAACCTTATTTATTTCACCCCATAGCTGACGTGGTTTATGAATATTATTATTGATATGATGAGAAAAATAGTGTTGTTTCTCGCTACGAATCAAATCCGTAACGGTATTTCGCAAAAATTTGTAAAAATTGTTATTTTCCGCACAGGGAGATGTTTTTGCTCGCAAATACGCCTTATCCCTATCCACCATCACGGCTTTTATGCTATCTGTAATCCATGGTGTTGGAAGAGCACGGAATGCTCTTGTACGCTCAGGAACAAAATGATTGAACAGCCCTAGTATTAGATACTCAAAACATTCTACCATATCGTCTACATCACTATACTCTAAGACCAAGTCCCAGGGCGTGATGGATGAGGCACAGTTATAAGTCTCTATGTCAAAATCACTAAATGGTCTATATGTTACAGTTCTGAGTGGAGGTTTTTGGGTTTGGATTGGAAATTTCGCTGAAATGTATGCGTGATCACTTAAATCATCATTGTGTTTGACAATAATATTTTTAGCTTTGAGAGATTTACCGCTGCAAATGACATCCAGTAATGACTTCGTAGTTTCAGTAACACGAGTAGCTTCAGTAACGATTAGATATAGTTCATGTTCATTTAGCAGTTCAAAAATATATCTTTTTGGTATCCCGCAGAAGTCAGAAGGTTAACGTTGACATCTCCTGTTAAAAATACGTGATCAAATTGTGGTGTCAATGTAGAAAGCGTGTCATTAAGTTGCTCTATACAATGACTATAGTTGAATGTTGGAGGGCGATAGAACACACATATTGCAAGTTTTAGTTTACCGACTTTAACTTCGATACTTAACAGCTCAAGGTCGCCAGATGATAAGGCTATATTGCGGCAACGCAAACCATTTTTTACGTAAAATCCTACGCCCCCGCCCTCCCGCTTTCGACCGGTACCACGTGGTTTGTGTATTAACCTATATCCTGTTACATTATAATATTTAGTGTCAGAATTTTCGTTTAGTCGTGTTTCTGTAAGTGCCAGGACGTCAGGACAATTAATCTCAATAGTGCGTGTCAATTCATCTCTACCTGTATTTAGAGATTGGACATTAAGCACAACTAGCACGAACTCTGATTTTTTTCTAACCATTTTGTTTTATATTGTCTACATAATAGAATAAGTCAAAGGTGTTAAAGTGATTTAGTTGGTAGTCAGTAAGTATATCATAACTTAAATAATAACCAGAGTAAACAAGTAAATAAGAATTATGAACTCTTACACTTAAATAAAATACATATAGGAGACAAAAACCTTGAATAATTACAAATGACAGAATGCATGTGTACGACTGCATCACTAATACAGGGCTGAAACTAACTGATGAGGTAGGAAATAAGTATTGACTATTAATTTTTAAGCAATATATAAGTACATAATATAAAACGTTAGCATTGGGAGTAGAATCTTGATTTAAAATTACATTAATTTGGTCAAAGAATTATGATTTTTAATCAGAATCAATGCACTGTCATCAGTCTTCTTCATGTAAATTTTGCCATGCTTCACCCATACATGTTTGTACGATAATTGTTTAGCAGTCTTGCGGGCTAGAGCATGTAGCTCTTTACTCTCCGGCGAAAGATGCTCTACTATATATACTGGAGCTGAGTTATTATCAACCTGGGGGCCAAGATGAGAGGCGTTTAAACGCTTATTTCTATGGGTCCGATTGTACGCTCTATATGCAGAGATTAATCCATCGCGATAGTGCTCAGACGACAATGTTACAAGTACACTACGAGGCCGGTCAGATTGAGGTTGAAGCTTGGCTACTCTACGGATGGAGCGGATTTCACTATCCGGAATTATATAATTTAGTTGTTCACAAATTTTTTTTAATGCACTTGAAAGGTTTTCCGATTTTTGTTCAGGTAACATTTGAATTTCAACGTTACGTCGTCTCGAATTGTCTTCAACTGTGCGTAGACGCCCGTCCAGCTTCATTAGATCCGTAGACAGCTTCGAGTTTTCAGCTTCTAAACGTTTTATCTTATCATTAGTAGTTCTAATGTCGTTCCCTATGTCAGCTTGTTCAGCAGCCAAAAAATCGGTAGTTTCGGTTTGGTGAAAAGCATTCAGTTGTTCGGGAGTGAAGTTGACCGAATGAGCTCCTTTGATTCTGGGGCCTTCTAATAACACATTCAGCGGTGCCTGGGTCTTTGCTGCCTTTGGTATGAAACTCCTGTAAAAATTTAATATTCCCAGAAATCTTCTTAGCTCTTTTATCGTTTTCGGTACTGGAAACTCCTGAATCGCCTGCACTTTTACATCAAACGGTTGTGTTCCTGAGGCGGATACATTATAGCCCTGAAAGGATACTTCAGATTGGCCCCAGGCATATTTGGCAGGGTTAATCAAAACGCCGTACTCACTCAGTCGTTTAAACAGCTGATGTAAGTGATTTTTATGGAGGCTCACGGATGGAGAAAACACCAGTATATCATCCAGATACCCGAAACAAAATTCATCAAAGCCGGTGAGTACTTCATCAATAAAACTTTGAAAGGTTTGAGCCGCGTTGCGAAGTCCGAATGTCATGTAAGGGAATTCAAAGAGCCCGAATGGTGTAGTTATGGCGGTTTTTGGTATGTCGGCTGGATTTACAGGTATCTGTTTGTATGCTTTGACCAAATCTATTTTGGAAAATATAGAGCATCCAGAAAGATGTTGTGCAAAGTCCTGAATATACCGTATAGGGTATCGGTCTGGAATAGTGCGTGCGTTAAGTGCTCGATAATCCCCACAAGGTCTCCATCCATCGTCCTTTTTTTGACTAGGTGTAAGGCAGAAGACCAAGGACTTTGTGATCGTCTAGCTGTACCACTTTTCGTCATATCTTCAAATTCCTTTTTAGCGGCTCTCAGTCGATCCACATCCAATCAGCGAGGCCGGCAACAGACAGGAGGGCCTGATGAGGTTTTTAAAAAATGCATCGTATTATGTTTGGGCTTTACCAAGGTACCTGCCGGGCGTGTGACCTCTGGAAACTGTCGTAGTAAGTCACAAAACTCGCTGTCACCGGAAACCGTCTTTATTGAAGCGATGCTCTCCGGGACTTTCTGACGAGGTGCTGGTACGGAGAGTGAAGTTAATCCATCGATAAGGCTCTGATGTCTGCAATCTAGAAGCAAATTATAATAGCTTAGAAAATCCACGCCTATAATTGGTTTAGATATATCCGCAATGCTAAACTTCCAAGGAAAGTACGCCTGAGTCCTAAGTTAAGTTACAGTTGTATGGGACCATACGTGTTGATCACTGTTCCATTTGCAGCTACAAGGTCATACTTTGTAGGTATGCAACGCTTCTTGACGGCAGACCGCGGAAAAATGCACAAGTCGGAGACAGTGTCTAGGAAAAATACCATTTTTGTTGTTTGGTCAGTGATAAACAGTCGGCCTGTTTGAGTTGAGCAGTCGTTGGCCGCTACTTTCGGCTGCTCCTGGTGTTTTTCGACTCCCAATTGCAGGGTGACTGGCATCTGTTTGCTCGAGCCTGCGAGAATGTAAAATGATACCAGGAGTGAGGGTGATCAGGCGGAGGTTGTGGAGTTCTTGACCTTGACTGGCTACGTCCGCGCTTGCTTCTGGAAAAGGATCGTGATCGAGGTAATTGTTGTGCAGGTACCCAGATCATGCCTACTTGTGAGGTTAGCTACTTGCATTGAAAGTTTACTTATCTGTCTAGCCATCTCGTTGAACTACGCACTTGTCACATATGGCGAATGTATAACCGCTGATGTACTAGCTATCTGTGGTGGGCCCATAGGAGCGATCTCGTGCACTTTGTCATCTATATTTGCTAAACTTTCTAATTTTAACTCGGATTGAGAAGCTACGACGGTTTGAACAAGATAAACTGACCTTTTATCTGTGCGAACCATAACGCAGGCTCCTCCGGCCAAAATGGAGGTGGACGTACTCCCATTCGACATATTTCTCCGTGGGCCGTTTCTGGTTTCTCCTGGTCTTCTGGCGGTGCCATTTTTAAATAATTAAAAACTAATTATAATAACTAAGTAACTCGTATTATTGTCCAATGTCGTAGGTCACCAATTTGTGGCACTATGCGAATCACGGCAATTTACAGTTTATAGTCCGGAACACAAAGAAAACACTCAAGTTCGATTTACGCTGTTTAATTACAATAAGACACTTTACACTTACAGCACGAAAGGCACAGAAGATACAGTTCAGTATGGAATGCTAGTCATGGAACTGAAGGCAGTAAACGCAAGCTATGTGCAAAATACTAAACACAATTTATTCACGTAATGGCGGGCGATAACGGTAAATTTTAAAGGCAAAGCGAGCGTGCGTCTAGCGTCAGAGCGCAGCAAACAATGGCCAGCGGCGGAGTTCACGACGGCGGCCGAAGTCTCAACGTCGGCGTATCTCACTAACGTTCCCGACAAGCGGCGGAAACCGCGTTATTAAGCGTTCGCCCAAAACCAGTGCGATCTTCGTTCGCTCTAATAGTGTGCGATCTTTTAGTCGCCACAAAGTATTTAGACGCATAGAATTTGCCAGTACCGGTTTTGTGTTTTTTTTTATGACACCAAGTGACAGGACAGACAAGTCTTGTACCTGTGCCTATCCATGACAGTTGCAGTGCTACTCAGAGCTTTAAAGATCTGAGGGGCATTGCCACTGCGCCCGTTACCTTGAGACGTAAGTTGACAAGTCCCATGTGCTCGTAATTTCACCAGCACCCTTACCCTTTAAAAGTGGAATGCAGTAATGCTCAAATTACTGCTTGGCGGCAGAAATAGGTAAGGTGGCAGTACTTCCCTGAGCGAACCCTTTCACAAGGAGCTCTACTGCTAGTAATATTTAGTTAATATTATAGAGGAAATTGGATTTGCACATGTCTTCTGTACACAATAATAACTATACGATTTAATTGTTACGTAATATCGTCAAAAATTTTGATTCTCAATTTAAATTTATTTATTTTACTCAAATTGTTACCATCTGTGACGAACGTGCCCTTTAACTTGTTTTTATACAAAAATCTCAAGCCCCTATAAAATAAATCTTTATTATTACGAGTATTTCAAATGCCTAAACTACGAGTCTGTCTTGACGTAGAAACGGGCGATAATGGGTCGATCCTCGTAAGTAAAGTGATGAAGTGCCTGTCAGTTTCTTGTCTGTTCCTTTTACGGGTTCTTTTAGATATGCAATGAAAAAGTTCGTGTGTAGATTTTTGTGTTCGTGCGTTCCTTTGTCTGTAAAATTAATGTGCTTCTTACGACTATTCTACAAATATAAGGGCAAAGAGCGAAATTTCCGTATTCTATGATCATAAAGATTTATAATAAAATATCCAACAAGTTAAAAACATAATTATAGTTATGATATGCAATAAACAACTTTTGAAGCTTGTAATACAAAAACGCTACTGCAGTCTGAGCGAATTTCCAATGACAAAAATTAAATCGTACCTATCTATACAATAATGAATTATAAAATTTATACAGTCCTTCTTTGCAGTGACAATTACAGGGTATCTATCATACACGCGCACAAGCTGACCCTGTAATTTTAATTAAAATTGGTAAATCAATTTAAATTTTTACCAAACTTTTTTCTTGAAAAACATGTTAAATAAACTTTGCGCCATGCCAGTCTTAAAACTACAATGAAAAACGTACAGAAAATTATTACAACTCTCAAAAACAAAACGGAAAAACCACAGTCAAAAAATAACTCTACTGTAGTAACAGATTATTGTTTTTCTTACACTGAAGTCCATTTTTAGTAAACGCGACAATGTAAATAAACCTATTTCTTTACTATACTATATAAAATATAGCTTGATACCTGTGACGTTTGTCAGAATGACAGTTACTAGAGATGAGACGTCCATTATATTTTATCGATATTTATAAAGAAATGAGTTTTTTTTAATGTCATTTTTTAGAGATTGAAAGAAAAAGAAAGAAAGAAAAATAAAAGTGTACTCATAGGAAAATTATCATTAACGATGGATATAAATGTAATTTTTTTAGATAACTCCTCAATACTGATTTATTTTGTTACTAGTTTTTGCCCGCGACTTCGTCCGCGTGGAAAAGTTACTTTGGGCAGCATTTTAATTTAAAGGATACTACATTTTATGCAAAGTTTCAAGCTATAAACATCGAAAACCACATTTCCCATACAAACTTCAACCTCCATTTCCACCCCTTTTGTGGTTGATCTTCAAAATAAGCGAGGACTTATATCCATACAACAAAAAAAGATTCATCAAAATCCGTCGCGTAGTTTTTGCGTGATGCGTGCACAAACATACAGACAGACAGACAAAATGTTCAAAAATTGGTGATTTAGTATCTATATCGATTAGGTATTACAACCCCATTAAAATTTAAAAAAAAATTCAATGTACAGACACAGGTCATTTACAGTTTTATTATCTGTATGATTCATTATTGTTTCAAAAAAAGAGCAAAGTATACCTCAATATTATTTAATAGTTTATTCAGATGAAATGAAACAAGAGAAATGAACAGGTATTTAAAATTTTAATTGTTGAAAGGTGTACAGCCGAGATCAACGTCAAAGTCAAAGTCAGATTCATCGCTGGAGCAGTCCTGTAGATTAATAATCAATTCTTGATCACATATGTTGTCAAATTGAAGATCGCGCTCCCAATCTTTTTTAATAACATTTTTGGTCTTCTCAACTACCTTTTTCCAATCATCGGCCTTTACATGTACACAAGCTTCATGTAGTAATGTCAACATTTTATTTGCTGTGAAAGGCGGTGCTACATTATGTCTGGCAGCGTAACCTAGAAAAAAAGTTATTGGATGAAGCAAAAAACCTACAAGAAAAGTATAATATAGTAACCCATAGTAGTATATATACTATATAGACCCTTGTAACCTTAATATATTTTTTTAAGATAATACGAACCTTTGACTTGAGCCCAGATTAGTTCAATTGCATTGTAATGACAATGGTATGGTGGTAAACGGATGACAGTGTGGCCCATTTCCTTTGCAATTTCACCTAATATATATTTTGGAGTTCTAGGCTTATGAATGCTTACTAATCTTAGCAATTCTTTTTTGAGCATGCTGTTGTTTGCTTCTACTCCTTTGTTTTGGAGCCAAGTTATAATTTCATTTTTCCGATTGCTCGTCGTAGGCGCCTTATCTTTTTGTACCGAATGGTACGGAGCGTTGTCCATAACAATAAAATGTGGTTCACTCAAATTATTTAAAAGAGTTAGAAACCACTCCTTAAATTTGTTAAAATCCATTTCCTCGTGGTACTCTGTTGTTTTGACAGACTTAAACGCCAGCAAACAATTGGGCACAAAACCTGACGATGTTCCCGCATGAGAAATTATTAATCTTTGCCCTTTACCTTCGGGCACCTTGGTAGTAGACTCTGCTTTATCGTCTGTCCACGATCTTGAAACAGTGTGATTTGCGTTGAGCCATGTTTCGTCTAGAAAAACCACTTTATCCCAGTCTGTAATGTCTTTGACTTTACGCAAAAAGTCAATTCGGGCCAAAGCAATGTCTGTTCGCTCCATTATAATCTTTCTTTTATAGTTTTTTTTATACGCAAACCCGATTTCTTTCAAAATCTTGGATAGTGATGGTGGACTTCCTTCAAATAAACCCGAGTCTTTAAGCGATATGGCTAATTTTTTTAACGTGGGATATTCACCATGTGCGTAATACGCATAAATATGGTTGCGAATTGCAGCGGCATCAAAGTCGTCAATTTCGGTGACTGGAGAGACTCTCTTTCTTTTTTTATTCGGAGTCGATAATAATATATCTTCAGCCTCCATCTCCGTTGATGATTCTCCATACTTTTTTTTGGTAATTCGAGCCACTGTAGCTCGTCCGATACCAAGAGCGTCAGCTACTCTATTGCAAACTTGCTCCAATGGCAGTAGCGGTCCGCCATTTTGATTCTCGCGCTCAAAATACTCGCGCAAACGGATAACAAACTCGCGACTTTCACTCTTTAAAACAGTTTTTTTTGTTCTTTTCGGCATTGTGGCGCAAAGAAAACAACAAACAAGAAAATATAGCAACAAAACTTAACAAAGTAACAGCAACAACGATTAAACAATAATAATCACGTAGAGGTAGCGTTAGCGTATACAAGGCGTGGCGTCGGCACTCGTACTGACTCAAAAAAGATGGCGTCGGCTTGTTCGCCGCATGCGGAAGCAGTGTTGCCAGACTAAAAAAATACGAATCTGTTGTGAACACATTATTTTATTTAATTATTTTATACGATTTAAGTTAATGAAATTTTCATAAATATATTGTATCGACATTCGTCAGTCAGTCGATTACACATCTCTACCAGTCTTCAGAAAACGTTTATAAAGTAAGCTAAGAACCAAAAAACAAAAAAAAAGATAAATATGAGTTCATTTAGATTACCTTTGTTTTTACAAGTATCTCTATGATAACATGTTTTTTTTTTAAATAAAGGATTCTTTTTTTATATACAAACGATTTAATAATATTTAAAAACTATAACTTTTTCAACCAGATATTTATTGTGGCTGTCTTTAAAACGAAGTCGCTAATGTCGCAGGTATCAAGCTGTATTTTACGTACTTTAGTATGTGATCACTGGAATTTGAAGATGAACCAGTGTGTTCTTCAAATTGTATTCTCTTTATCATGGACCAATAACTCGGGAGGCTGCTAATCTTCCTACTACAGATCGTAGTTTTGAAAAAGATCAAAATTCCGTATTATATCTGATGGGGTTGATCAATAGCTTGGAAGTAGTTTGTATTACGCAAATGGCCATCAGTGGTGAAGCCTGAAAATTGCCTTTAGTAGTGCCGGAGCAAAACAAAAACCACGTGCCTTAATAAGTGGCGCCTTGGCAACAATTAAGCACAACACTTATTAGCAAACAAGATACTTGTACACTTGATTTCACTGGTTAATTATTCTATAATTAAAATTGAAAAGTATAGTAAATTGCTTCATAATTTTGATAATATGTGGAAAATTTTAGGCAAGCCGGTGGGAATCGAGTTACATGGACGCCTCGCCACTGATAGCTATGGATATCAATAATTCCTCTTTAATATGAAAAGGAAGACGTTTTTTTTCTTGTAATATTATTCAAATATTGATAATGAGCTAAAATTATTTTCTGATCTGTGACAAATATGCGTGTCAATAGATGGTATTGTGTTACGAACGAGTTTACACATGAACGCTCCCTAATATGGTTAGATGGCGCTAATCCTAAACAAAATAAAAGATAGCCTGCCTCTGTGGCCGAACGGTTGCCATGCCATATTGCCATTTGTATGGCCTACATTTATTTCTCCGTGAGTTTAGGTGTAATTTTGCAGTTGTCTATGTGTGTGTCCATGGCATCCGCGACTCAGGGTTTCCTTAGTTCGGGGCTATGTTGAGTGTGTGTGTTATTATTATTATAGCCGGCATTACCCATAAAAATCTGTGCAATAAGCGCCATAGTTGATTTGATTGTTACCATTAGAAATTAGCCTTGATAAATTCCAGCTTGTCAATGTAAAACAAATTAGTTGCAAAAATAGCTATTGGCGACGTCTGGTGTACCAATAAATAAAAATTTTTAGATGCACGTTATACATTACGTTGTTTGTAATAATTTTCTGTGGTGAAAGTTACTCAAAACGCAATTAGTAAAGCTTATAGCTGTATCATTACTCATTCAACTGTCTCGTAAAACTATTTCGCTAAAAGTTTCCTTTTAGGGCGAGAAACTGAATTTGGGGGTTGCAACATCACAGGCCTCAGTTATTTTGTGTATTTCGTAGATACATCTCTTATTTCCTTGAAACTGGAAGTAGTAAACAAATTTCATAACTAACATTGTACGTAGGCCATACTTACCCCGAACCCACTCCAACCCACTAATTCCTTCTCAACCAGCTACTAAATGGCACTATAGTAGGGAAATATTCTAACTGGAATCCATACATAGTATATATACACTGTAAAAGAATTTTCTGCTGGTACTCCAACTGAACTGCATCATTCAGTTTGGGATTCTTTAAAAACGACATTACTTTACAAATATACTCGTTGGCAGATTGAAACGCAGTGGCAGATACAGATTTTCTTACAAACAAGTTTATCGAAACCACAGTGCTTGAAACCCGAAAACCTATAGTTTTTGCTCCTAGTTACAATAACACAAAGATGAGAATTGTGCGAGTTTTGCTTGCAGATTGGTCAGAGGGGTAACATTTTCTTAACGTACTTATCTGTACCTAAGATCTGCGGCAAAATCATGAACGTCAAGCGGAATATAGACAACAATTTTAATGACCGTAATTACATAATAATGTTGTGATAGTTGTTCTTACATTTGATAGCCATGAATATCTCTAAACGTTTATAATGTGCTTCACCTCACTTTTTATTGATTCGACTAAAAACACAGCATTTATGCTGTCGGTGTGGACGTATTCAGTAATGCCTCATGTTATTTATAATTCACGTATAATTTTGCTGCGAGTAATGCATGCTTTGAATTTATTAGATAAAAGAATCTTGTGCATCGAAACATAATAAAATATCATGTTTTGACTACCTAAATGCCCATAAATAAGGCAACTTACTTTGGAAATCGTCTGGAAAGTCCCGTTTTTCCCGGAATTTTCGACACCTCATCGAGTCTCGACTTTTTATCCTGAGACGCGGAAATGCAGCGACATTGAAATTCCTGTCTAAAACGACCTCAATATAAGCGCAAATAATGAGATACTGTAGTATTTATTATAAAAAATAAGTGCGCACTTGACCTCCATCTCACCTGATGGTAAGTGATGATGTGGTCGACGATGGAGCACACCCAAATAGTACCTATTCACTCTCGCCTTGAAAAGGTTCAAGTCATATCTAAATAAGAAATCTGAAATTTCTTATTTAATAAGTAAATAAAACTATCAAGCCATAGTCTTTTTAAGATATAATTGAAACCGGACGTCTATTTCGGAGATGGAGAAAGAAACATTTCATTACAGAATCTACAGTGTCTGCTGTCACGTTTGAGATTGGACATTGTGTTTATTCAGCATTTCGAGGTTATTCCTGCCCAACGCGTTTGTGTGAGCGTAAGCGTTAATCATTCGGTTTTCGAAGGTTCGACAACATTGGATCGTAGCCATGTCTTGGGAATCTTGTACTAGTACGTATTGCTCTCGGGGGACGAGCTTAGCTAAGTAGTGCTGAACCCTATTGAAGGATTTGGGGCCGATGAAAATTTCTTGGCTCCAGTTTTCGCAACCTCATCTATGACATTGGAGTGGCCTTGTAACCTGCGCAATATAACTTTGTTCCTTTCCACAAGAGAATTTGAGGTAATCACACAATTCTCTATAATCCTTGTTGTTTGGGAAACTAAGATCAATACGGGAAAGGCCGCTTGATTGTCTGAGTTTATATAAATGTATTTCATATAGTCTGTCATTGGGTTTAGGTTCGCATAGGCAAATATGACGTATTTCTCAGCCTGAAAGATGGACATGTGCATCCATGTTCAGAAAGTTTTTTCTTCCTACACTCTAGATTCTATTTAAAAAGCTTTAATTTACCGCATTTCTTTCAGTCTCATCTAACACTGTATATTAAAAAATTGTACAAAGGACTCATGCATGACTACCAGTTGTCTCGCATTTTTTTGATGCATAACTTCACGTTACAGCAAAAAACACTGCATCAAATATAAATCTGAAATTCTTCAAATCCAAACATGCACAACACTAGCAACGGATCAATAGCATTTTTGGTGCCAAACCATGTCAATAACATTTTATGAAGGGGTACCAGGATAGTATTTTCCAAGTTTTTATGTGTGCATACACTGTGCGGCATCATAGCTCATTTGAAAAGGCTATATTCCGAGTTATTATATAGCAACGGTGGTAAAACAATTGTAAAACGTATAATGTACTTCAATGGCTAACTAGGAGCAGTTTTCACAAGGAGTTCTACTGTTACTATGACTTCCCAACAAGCAGCGCTCATAGAATTATCGTACGAGCCTTCACCAGCGCTAAGATACCGGTTCTCAAGTGTACTGGCATCTGTAGCAGTGACGGTAAGAGGCCTGATGGTACGATTGTCGATCCATGGATGCTAGGTAGACAGCTAGTGTGGGACGCAACGGACAGATTTTATTTTCCGTAGAATAAACACTGAAGTATCGAATAATTATACAATCAATTGGAAAATGCATCTGAAAAAAATGATGATGTGTATTTAGAGTGCGAAATTCCAAAAATGCAAAAAAAATACGGTAAAAGCTTTTACAAGTTTTATATAAAGTAATGCAAACGTAAATAATGTAATGGCTCTTGACATTAGAGAATAGAGCTTTCAATGTTTGATTTTGCTATAGGTATTTGTTTGACCTTCGCCACGCACCTTTTGAAACAGTTGCACGGCTCGTGTAGGCAAAGGTACGGTAGTACCTGCACCCTGCACCAAGGCAAGTGACCTTGGTGTTACGGTATCCCTTAGCAGTTTGCTCGACTGGAGCAGAAGATAAGAGGTCAATAAATTTGTGGTGCAGGGATATAGGGATTTAATTTGTATCAAATGGTTTTAATAATTTAACAATTTAACAATTCAACAATTCAACAATTCGACGATTTGACGATTTGACGGTTTGACTTGGCGACTTGGCGACTTGGCGATTTGACGGTTTGACTTGGCGACTTGGCGACTTGGCGACTTGGCGGTTTGGCGGTTTGGCGGTTTGGCGGTTTGGCGGTTTGGCGGTTTGGCGGGTTGACGGGTTGACGGGTTGACGGTT